CACCTCCCTCCCTTCCTGCGCCTCAGGCCAGGCCGGGGCAGTCGCCGCGCCCTCCTGGGACTTCTGCCCCCCACAGCTGGAGAAGGGGTCTCTTGTTGATTGTTTTTCGATTTCCTTTTAAATGAAGTAGTTTTGTTATGGCAAGAGGAGGGGCGCTGGGTTTGTGAGGAGGCAGACAGGCCCCTCGGCCCTGCTGCGCTGAGGCCGCGCCAGCCCAGCCCAGAAAGGTGGGAGGATGAATAGGGGGCTGGAGGGGCGCTGGCAGGAGGGGTGCAGAGTCTTTAATTTAGTGTCCCACCTCCCCCTCGGCCCAAGCGGGCAAGCCTGCAGGCTGCTGCCACGAGAGGTTTTGCCTCCCTTCCTCCCCTTTGGTGCACAGATGGATCAGGATCAGTTTGGGGGAGGACAGAAAACAGAAGAGCCGCTTGTATTTTGAAATTCCTTGTGGTACATGTTTGGGGTTTGTGCCACTGGGAAGTCGAGTTACTCTCTCACGTGGAAAGCGCCTTTTGCTGTGCCAGTGGCCGGTGCCTCGGCGGTGCCAGCTTGTTACCCGCTCTCTGCTCCCCACCAGCTCTCTGATTTGCAGGACCCACCTAACTGCTGCTGCATTTGCACTGACCGTGTCCAGTCTCTGACTTGAAAATAAAAACAGATGTCAGAAACACTTTCTTTCTAGCCAGGTGTTCCTCTCATCACTTCCTCTGGTAATGCCTGCACGGTAAGGGAAGGATTCCAGAATAAGAGGCAGACAGACCAGAGAGTGAGAAAGGCGTTATAAGACATCTGTTCCGTACAAAGGGTGTTTCTGTGCATTTTTGTAAAGCTGCTGCCTTATTACTGAGGTGACTGATACGGCTGACGTGACTGACAGCATGATGTTGTGGTGCTAAAGAAGATACATAAGTCTCCTTAGCATCTGCAGTAAAATAACTGTGTTGAATAAATATAACATAGTATTTTATTCCCCTCGGTATCTACCTAGGTAAGTAAGTTACCTTACCGTGTGGGGGACTGCCACTGCCATCACTGTGCAGCCTGCATTAGGTTGTGGCTGTGTTTCTGTACTGAGGTAAAAAGTTGTAAAATGCACAGTGCAAATCTTGTGGTGATACCAAAGAGAAACGGTGCGTGTCATGGGAATGTTGTTCCGGTTTTTTTACAGTTGTATTTTGGTGTGTTGTACAGGCTGGTTTGCAAAACCTACAGGAAAGAAGACATCTGTGAGTCCTCATGAGGACGCGAAGGCGGCATTTATGGCTGAAATGAAAGCTGAAAACATCAAGCAGTTTCTTTAGTAAGCAATGTTAATAAGCAATTGCTGAATAATCAGTCAGAAAAAGAAAAAAGAAGTCAAGCAGGAGTCAGCCCAAAGATGCCACCAGACAGAGGATAGTATGCACATTCTCAGTCGTAGGTTTTATGTCATGTGTCCCAGTGAGCTGTGATCAGCAAAGCAGTCCATCTCAGCTCCTCTCATTCTTTTTGTGTTGGAGACAGTTGAGGAGTTGTCAGTAATGTAAGTACTTAAAGTAGTTAAAAAATGGCCAAGCTCTTGCTCAGCCTTTGGTGAATGCTTGTAAAATGATGTGGAGGTTCAACCTTTGTCTTATGTGTCCTTTTTCAGTCTACAACAATGTTTATCTTAGATTGTTTTTTATGGAAAAATCATTCACTTCAAATTAGGCTGTATGAATTAACTTAAATCAGGAGACGTTAAATGGAAAGTAGTGGAGTACATCAGTGTAAGAGAGAAGAAAATCATAGCCAGTGTTCAAGCCTTCAGTTCTTCCTCCAGCTTAGGCCTTAATACCTTATTGCTACTCTCCCTTCATGCTTTGTCGTGCAGTGACCAAATTTATGTGTTAATCTGTCACCATTCTGACCTTGTGCTCACTTTCATGAAGAAAGATAATGTTTCCAATTTCTTCCCCCCTGCACAGTGAATAGTTAGAACAGATGTAGTAGATACCAGCTTGTGACCTGATGGTACGTTACACTGCTCATAATAAATCATAGAATCATAGAATTTTTTAGGTTGGAAAAGACCTTGAAGATCATCAAGTCCAACCGTTAACCTAACCCTGCCATCCCATCACTAAACCATGTCCCTAAGCACCTTGTCTGCCTGGCTTTTAAATACCCCCAGGGATGGGGACTCGACCACTTCCCTGGGCATCTAATAGTCTTAAAGCTTTAGCGTCTTTTCTAAGACCGTGGGGTTTTTCCAGTAATTTTTTTTCATCTCATCTACCCTTTAGTACTTGAATTAGTTGATTTTAAATATACTCTTGTTACTTTTATGAAATCCTCAAAGCAAACATGCTAACCTTTGTTCCTGAAAATGCAAACAGTGGAAGATGACAACATAGTTTTGTGGTTTTTTTAATCTATTACAGTTTAATCAGTGTAATTAAATTCTTAATTTATGTAACTTAGAATCTTTAATTATAAGGAAGCTGGTGCACTATTGTTTGTTTATTTTAGGGATCTTGTAAACAGATTGTTTTTCTCTTAGGAGACTATAGTATTTGTTAAAACCTGTATTTATCCCAGTCAGTAATGGACCAGAAGTTATAGTTTATTGATGGAAATTTACTTTCTGTGTAAAGAAAATGTTAGAGTATCAGTTATTTTAGGAGTAATCAACAAATTCAGGTTTGCCTTAAGTTCCCAGCCTGATTAAATAGCACAAAGTTGTATCTTGCTACAAAACTAAATTTCTAAGAAACCCTTTTCTGCTTACAAGATTGTGGCAATCCCATTCATTTCATTTTAAATGCACTTGCCACAAACTATTGCAAATAGATTAGCTGTAAAGTACGGTCTCTTTACTACATAATAGCCGTGGCCTGGACTATATAAACATTGAAGACTGAAGACTTTGGATTTTTTGCAGTCTTAACCTGTGTTTTGGCTCTTACAAAGTCAACTGTTGTTAAACAGCTCTGTAAAAGGAATGCTTTCTGCCCTCTAAACTCCCCGTCTCTATGCCAACAGGAAACATTGTACCTCATTTACTGTCATGCAGCCAGATCTGTGGCGAAATACGGCAGATATTTAGTCACTACTAGTGACTAACTGAACTACCAGTACAGGCAGTCAACAGATTAGAAGATAATATGAAGAAAAACACAATACTCCATTAAATGGGAAGGTAATACAGGAGAATGTTATTGCATAAATCAAATCTTAATGAAAACATGAGCCTTACAAATTCCTAACTCTTACAGAAAACAGGCATTGGCTCTAACAATAACAGCTGACTGTACTTGTGGGTCAGTATGTCATGCAGAAAATGGTACTGGCATTGTAACAGGGAATTTTAGTACAGTGTTGGTACTGGATGTTGACATTATCAGGGGAACAGGTTTATCTAGGAGCATTTGGCTGCTAAGGACTTTGGGCTTCTCTAGTTTGGAGAAAAGGAAGCTGAGGGGCGACCTCATTGCTCTCTGCAGCTTCCTGAGGAGGGGGTGTGGGGAAGGGGGTGCCGAGCTCTTCTCCCTGGGATCCAGTGACAGGACACGTGGGAATGGTTCAAACCTGCGCCAGGGGAGGTTCAGACTGGACATTAGGAAGTATTTCTTTACTGAGAGGGTGGTCAAACACTGGAACAGGCTTCCTACCGAGGTATTTGATGCTCTAAGCCTGTCGGTGTTTAAGGGGCATTTGGACAATGCCCTTAACAACGTGCTGCAACTTTTGGTCAGCCCTGAATTGGTCAGGCAGTTGAACTGGATGATCCTTGTATGTCCCTTCCAACGGAAATATTCTATTCTACTCTATTCTGTTCTGTTCTATTCTAAAGTGTATAGGTCTTTCAAAGTGCTTTGTTTGATGGCTTTGTTCTCACTCAAACTCAAGAATTAAATTTTTTCCCAATGTTACACCCCTTCCTTAGCAAAGATCCGATTTCCTTCATTAACACCAGCTGGTGCAACACATGCTTCTATGGCATGTTGATGGCATGGTCATATGACAGGATGAGGACATCATGATGACAACCTCACTCAGCTGGGAGTTTCTTCAGCTCCCTCCACCACTGGGCCTTCTGGACAATTTCTTTTTCAGACAGTCGGTTGCTCACTGTTTATGGTATCTTTCACTGTTTGTTATTCATGCTGCATGACTTCTAAATTACAAGCTGTTGAGTTTTTCTGTTCCTTGTTTGTAAGCCACCGTGAACTCACTCTCTTATCTGCCAATGAGACACACTCAGAGTGAACTTCTAGATAAATCAGTATTTGTGCCAAAATTAATTAAAATAGTGTGATCCAAGGAGAATATCCAGTTAATTAGAAGTAGGGATCACAGTAATTATGCACATTTCTAAATTGAATATGCAAAGATAAATATACGAAATTCTTTTATCATTTCACAAGGAAGGTCAGTCTCATTATGCAGAGGAGTGATTGGCCTGATGTTACCCAGAAGACAAGGAGTAAAGCAAGTACAAGACCCCATGGCTGATGGCATCATGCCATTCTTGCTAAGCCACATTGCAAGGAAGATGCAAACTCCTGTGATAACTCAGCACAAACTGAAACCGTTTACCTCAACTTATGTATAAGACAGGCATAAGCATAGATGCAGAGGAGTCTGGGTCCTCCTTGCCTGGGTGCATCTGGTCATCTCTAGGGAGTTTATTTCCAGCTGGGCTAAATGGGGTTCTGATTATGAGCTGCAGTGCCTGATCCTGACTGATTGCTTCTTTTTCTCTAGCAATTTTACACAGCTTCCTCACCTAGCAGGAACAAAGGAGAATCTGCATCTGGCACAACAAGTCCAAGCTGAATGGAAGGAGTTTGGTTTGGATTCTGTTCAGTTGGTTCACTATGACGTCTTGCTCTCTTACCCTGATGACGCTAAGCCCAACTACATCTCAATAATTGATGAGCATGGAAACGAGGTACAGAAAACACCAGTTTTTGCAACCAGGGAACAAAATCGCCTTCACACACCTGAGAAGACTGGGAGGGAAAGCAATCCTCCGCTCTGTTAATAGTGTTGGGCCTGATCCAAAGCTCACAGAAATGAGTGGTTCCAGTTTGCTTTTATATTTTATATCTTTGTTTCTTAATGTATCTGCTAGGAATACTAATAATTACCCTGATTCGTATAGCATACTGATGTATATGGATTAAAGGAGAATTATGTAGGAGAATTACCTTATGTAATTCAATTGTTTAAAAATTGTTCTGTTATTTAGAAAGAGGAGGGCAACCGTGGTCAGCATCATTATTTACACTGATTCATTATACAGTATTGGTAATTGTGCTAAATTCAGTTTCTTAAGCATTACAGTTTAGGCCTCGAGATGTACTATCACAAATAACATCAGTTCATTATGGAGCAGCTCTAGTGCTCTTAGAAGCTTCAGGGATGAGCAGAATGCAAGCATTTTTTGCCATCATGATCTATCCTCCTCTTACGTGCTGCACTGAGACCACCTTAAGGGACCCTGTGTTTATTTAAGCAGGATTCTGTGTGAAGATGGGGATGAGATTTGCAAGATCACACATTGGTTCTGCATACTGAAAGGATGACCAGCATTTGCTAAAGTTTTGGCCCCTCCTCACTTAGAGTTGAAAAACTAGAGTCCTTTAAACTGCAAATGCATGTGAAATGTGCCTGAATAGACAGCACTTCTTTTCCATATTGCCTGATTTACCTTTTTTCTTTTCTTCTTTCCCACTAGATTTTCAACACATCATTATCTGAGCCTCCTCCTCCAGGATATGAGGCTGTAAGAGATGTGGTGCCACCCTACAGTGCATTTTCAGCCCAAGGAATGCCTGAGGTAACATAGTAGAAGGGGAAAAGAAAAAGAGGTAGAAACAGAAACAGACGTAGAAGTAAGAACAGAAGTAGAAATAGAGATGGAGATGGAGATAGAGATAGAGACAGAAATAGAAATAACAGAAATAGAAAAGATGGGAATCCATAGTGCAGGGTAGTGTAGTATAGCACAGAATAGCCTAGAGCAATATAGAATAATGTGAAATGCCTGCGTCTTAGGCTTTAGTTCAAAACCTGACATGTCACCAGTAGGAAAGATGTCCTAGCTCTGATCTTCTTGGGAGTTTTGCAGTGGAGCAGTGTTCAACTTGAGTGGTCATACATACATGTTCAATTTTTTTCTCTAGCTTGAGTCAGAACTGGATTTTATTTTTACTTTTTCCTTAAAAAATACGGTAATAAATCTTTAATGCTGTCAGCTGCTATAAGCTTCTCCAGATATTTCTGTGACTATGCACCATTGTTTCCCGTTTTGGTGAACAAATAAGACTCTTATATTTACGTAGCCAAATGAACAACCTAATTTTCAAAATGCTGCTTGCCCAAGACTCACACTGACAGGTATAACTGCACAGTGTACAGTATGCTTGAAAATGGCTTTTGCTAGCACTTCTGGCTGGCAGTAAAAATGTTGCTGTGATCTGAGCTTAACATTGATCCTTTCTATCTTGTTGTACAGATGGTATCAGCTGATGGGCTTTCTTTTTATAAAACTGGCCTGTGTAACAGGAGTTTTCTATCCTATGATCATTAGTGGTTTTAATTAGTATTTTGAAAGATTAGATTATTTTTTTTGTTGTTCTCAGTGGCTTTCCTGTCTATACTTAGAATAATGTAGGTTTGGCAGGGCCCTCTGGAGGTCATCTGGTCCGATCCCTGCTTTAAATTGGATCTGACTTTGAAATCTGCAAACAATGCTTTTACTCACACAGGCCACTATTAGAGTCATGTACTTTCTGAAGTTTGTAAAGTTGTGCAAATCTTGAAGACAAAAGGTGTCCTGTATTCATTTGCCAAAGGAAGCTGGAGAACCATGCAGATAGTCAGGGTATGACAGCTCTGAGTGTTTCAAGAACTGCAATGGGAATTTTGAAACATAATGTAAGGTAAAAATCATGGATTCTGACTTTGTATCATAATATAATATCCTCAGAGAAAGCCAGAATAACTTCACTGCTTTATTCGGTTTCTGGAGAGCTACAGTAAGTGATGGGGTATGGGAAATAAAAAAAACAAGTTTTAAAAGCTGCAGCTTCCTTCTTTAGAAAATTATTTTACTTTAATTAAATATAGAAACATTGTTTCTGGAAAAAAATAAAAAACCTCAATACATAAAAGACAGATTGTCTTTTCAAAATATGATGTGTATGTTCATCTTGTTCCATCATACTTTCACAAAAGCTCCAGGTATCTAACTAGTGCTGTTAGCAATAACATTCTCCAGTGAGCAGTTGCCTGCACCAGTACTGCAAGCAGGGAGCATGTATATAGCTCAGCAGCGGGAATACTCAGTGGGTTCAGGGCTCTTCTGAGTTCTCCCAGGCCTGTTTATGTATTTTATGTTAAAAAACATTCTATTAGAAACCAGAATTAAGCTGTGGAGAGAAATAATTGGAACTTGCCAAGTGCAATCATGGGTCATAGGTTCTCTTTCTGCTCATTAATACTGTGAACAATTCCTGCATAAAGCTCCAAGTTCAATGAAGGGAAAAGGCTGTAAAGTACTTGCATCCCAGGGTAACTGTAGTCTCACAAGTAGGCCACCTTTCTGGAAACTGGGAGAAATCGATCCAAGTTCTTCATACTGGGAGAGGCCAAGAACGCAGCTCTCACATTTTCTGGGTGCATGTTCTGATCAGGGAAATTGTGGAAATACAGTTTGGTGCTGCTAGCACTATTACTTTTTCCTGCAGCTGCTTTGTAAAAATAAGTGACAGTGACTGTGTTTTGAAGGTTAAATACTATCAGAGTGGGTTAGTAGCTACTTGCCTGCTAGAGCAAGACCCTGCAGAGATTTAGAAGTAGTTCCCACTCATTTCTGGTTCTCAGTAGATGGAAGATGGAATAAATCCTAGTCTGTCATACAGATTGTTAGAAAATGTATGTTTCTTCTGTGTGGTGTATTTTAACTAAATCCCAATAAACAGATGAAAAAAATTAAGTTTTGAGCAGAAACTTCTTTTGACAGAAATATTTAGCAGAAAGCGGACAAAATACTGAAGTCACATTCTGTCAGACAGTAGAAGTAGTTTGGAACATTAGCATCAGAAATAATGGTAAAATTCTGCTCTTCCCTTCCTTTTTAAGTGACTGCAAAAGTACTCCCATCTACTTAATGAGGGTCACAAGTAAGAGGTGTGCTTGAGATCTCTAACTATGCTAAAGGAGCCCAGACAAGACTTTTTATGAGTCCACACTACATTCTCAAAGATTGTGTTTTGTAATAGTTCTACAAACATGAGGGATTTCATCACATCACTAGGAAATTATGATACAAAACTGTCACAATGCTCTGAAGAGAAATTTATTGCATCAATGTAGTTCTTAGTCCTGTTAATGAAAGTTAAAGATGAAGGATTTTCAGAGATGCTAAAAGAATTTAATTAAGGAAGCCTGATTTACTATTCAGTATGTCGAATATTGCTAGTACCTTTTAATGTAGTTTCAAAAATCTAGATACCGAATAAATGTAAATTATTCTGCAACACCAGGAAAAATGCTATGAATACGGATTACATACTTTATATCAGTTATAGTTATGAGAAGTTTTTCAAAAGATCAGGCTGTTCTTTATGTGATGGCATCTGCTTAATCAAAGACATTATTTTTAAAAAAAGTGTAAAATGTGAACAGGTTTTCACCATAAAATGTTACTCTCATGTTAAATTGTTTTGCACTTCATTGCAGAACAAGGGCCCTGAATGTGAGAACCCAGCAGGTTGCTATTAATTGTTATAATTACAGCTCTGCAATTATGTAAGCCAAACTACTGAAATCAACATTTTTGTATTTGTCATAAAAAATACAATAGCTTACAAATGTAGGTATTCTGTACAAGATATTCTAAAGAAATTATGTTAAAATGGAGGACCAAATTACCCTTTTACTTAATCTAAATAGACTGGAAGAACTGTCTTGACTTCAGTAGAGTTATACTTGGTTTTACTGAGTGGGAAAACTACTCCATAAATTCAGAAAAGCCTCCCCAAGAATAATCCTTATGTTTATGAATTAATCTCTGAACAGAGAGGACCAGAATCTTACTAGGTGTGAAACTGTTTGCCTTATTTAAATACAGTCCCCTTTATTTCATTGATTTATCCTAACAGAGTTCATTTAAGAAGAAAGTGCAACTTGAGCATATTACTGATGAAACCAGTACAGTCAAAGTGACTGTACCACAGTCTTATCAGGACATTATGTATGCTGGTATATGAGACCAACTGAATCAGCAATTTTTGTCAATATAAGAGATTTAAGCTTATACCTTTTTGAAATTAAATTGAAGATCTCTCTGAAGGTGTCTGGTAATATGGAGAAATGCACTAAGGAAGGGTTTCCTGCCACCTAATTTTAGTTGTCTGAAATTGTAGGCATCTTCCCTAAAACCAGTCTTTGAGGCTTTTTATAGGCATTTATTCTAAAACAATCTTTGAGGCATAATCAATGAGAGGTGTATCTAGAGGGCAATATATTCCTTCCTAAAATAGCTGTGTAAAACAGGTTTGCGGTGAATTCTTCTAGAAATGGTGAATTCTCAGAGAACTTCCCAGGTCTTCACTGCCTATGGAGTGCACTGCAGGACCTTCTTAGACAATGCACACAATTTTCAGGTAGCTGATGTTAAGGAAGATGAATCACGCACTGAGTATTGAATAACGTGGTTGAAACACAATCATGAAGAATGCTTTATTCATGCCCAAGCTGTATTTATTTTGACAGTCAACCACCTGTAGCTTCTGCTGTATTGAATAAGAATCGAGTCCTGAGAATTTCGTAAGATATTGGCATCATTCAGTCTACTGCATAAAAGACAATTGATATTTACTGCAGTGTCTGGGTCCAAAATACCTCCAGCTGTCCAAGACAGACTCCAGCTTAAACAGACTATGAGGAGAAGTAAATGCCATACTCTGAGCACTTACTCTATGTTTCTGATTCACAAGTCATACCTTAACATTCTCCACTGAGGACAAAGTCTGGCAGCTTTGGATGGTAGGAGACTAAATTAATTAGAAGTCCCCTGCCTACCTAATTGTCTCATGGTCAAAGAAGAATTCATACCAGACCCAGTCCCAGTTTATTCTCTTACTAGATCACATCATCCTTTTGACATGCTCATTGACATTCTTGTTTCAAATTCTACTTCTTTCTCTCAGGGTGAGTTAGTGTATGTGAATTACGGCCGCACCGAGGACTTCTTTAAGCTAGAACGTGAAATGGGAATTAACTGTACAGGAAAGATTGTTATTGCCAGATATGGGAAGATCTTCAGAGGAAATAAGGTAACGCCTCTATATAAAAATGTTACTTGTGCTGTCCTTCAGCTGATCTCAAGAGACTGAAACACTTACCTAAAGTGTTCTGGAGACTTTGGCACAACTGAGTTTTTCACAGAGCTGTGTTCAAAGATGATTCTTCAGTAGAAGATATACATATTTTATATATATATATAATACATCTATGGATAAAAGTAAATAAATTAGAAAATGTTAGGTATTTTTATATTGATTTGCATACTATAAATTGTTCCAAAATATTACTAGTGTTCTTGGGTAATACACTCTAACTCTGAACTAGACTGGTTTTCCCTGTTGGTTCAGCTGTGTTTCTTTATAATGGTTTCTGTATACGAGGCAGAGCCTATAGCTATATGGAGGTTATTTTAAATTCTGTATTTGTTTACTCAATGTCCCTGTCATATAAATACATTTAAACTACAGACTTCTGCAGATTTCCATGGCCTGACAGGAGAGTCCATAATCGTGTGCATACTTCAGGCATATAGTCAAGTTATTTCATCAATAGGGATGAAAGAAGACAGTCTATTTTGGCTCTTGTACAAAAATCAATTTGATCGTAATTTGGGCAGGACTATAACTTGTATTTCTCAGTTACCTAAGGGTATCAACCACTGAATCACCTCATTGGAATGCCAACTGTTATTATATGCTGTTGACTAATCTGTGAGCTTTTAAGTGGTTAACTCACTGGTTTACGTACATACCATTTTCAGCAGTGAAAAGTGACATGTAACTCGTATTCTGGGTGTTTTCACTAAATTGTTTACCACTCTTAAAGATGCTGTCTGAATGGAAAAGACTTAAAAACTGAAGAAGGTATTTCTGTCTATGAATCTTTTACTAAAATTAAATACAAACACCTCAGACTTACTAATATCTAGAGAGGCAGTTGTCCTGTGATTTCGAAATCACGTGCCCTTGTTGACACAAAGACACGACATGTTAATTCTTACAGTAGTATTTCAACTGACTGTTTATATACTGAAGAATTTGGTAGCCTGTATAAAATCTGGAGAACTGTTCTGTGGTTTTCCAGCTTCCTAATGGTGTGCAAGAATAGGATAGAGGATGAAGGCAAGTACTATATTTCCTAAAAAAGCCATGGCATTTCTGATTTAAAATACCCAAGTTTAAAACTGTTGAGGATTAGTTGTCACTCAGTCAGTATACATCGCTATCTTATCTAGTGGCAAAGCAGATTGGGATGTCAGAATGACATATATTTTCTCTCTCTCACTCTCCTCCAGCCAGGATTATACAATAATAAAGTCGCATGAGAACACTTTTAAATCAAAACAGCATGCAGGTTAGGCCTTCTGCCGCAATAAGCTTAAGATACACACTCTTTGGAGTTAGTCTTGTTCACAGCCAAAGGCAGTTTCAAGCTCTCCAATAATAATCTCTCTGTGTAGCCTGAACCCTGAGATATGTTAGGAGATCATTTAGGTAAATAAGGTAAATACTTGGCTAACTGAAAGATAAGTGCACCAATGCGATACATTTTTTCCATCCATGATGTGTGTATTTCAATAGTCAGTTGATTGTATTGACCTGGATGACAGAATACAAACTCAGGTTATGTAGAAATACTGTGAAGGGTGTTTTCCATGTTACTGCAGTTACCTCTTAACTAAAATTCAAGGCAACAGCAAACCTCTTACTTTCATATGGAACCCGTTATCTGCATATATATTTTCAGGAAATTTTATGATCTGAGACAGTTACGGGCCCTCTACTTAGTCCAAGCACTGTAAAAGGCCCTGAGGAATAATTGCTGTAATTTGTAATACTTTCTTTCACCCCTTGAACTCTTGTGTCAAGCTGTAAAGGACTGGATAGGGACCAGAGATGTGCTTTGCAGGTGAAGAATGCTGAATTGGCAGGTGCCAAGGGAGTTATTCTGTACTCTGACCCTGCTGACTACTGTGCCCCAGGAGTAGCTCCCTATCCAAATGGCTGGAACCTTCCAGGTGGAGGAGCCCAGCGTGGAAATGTTTTAAACCTGAATGGGGCAGGGGATCCTCTGACACCAGGTTATCCTGCAAAAGGTGAGTGACACTAGAGAAGTCATGTTCTGAGGGTCTGGTGTCAGGAAGGCGGGGGAAGGTAATGGGGATGTTCTTTCCCTTGGAACAAAACACATTTTTTTCTTGGTCCTTCTCTTGCTCAAAAGAGGCAGCTTTGGGCTTCACGTCAGTTGGCCGCGTCTGCAAATGGTGCATGAGAGAAAGTGAGGGCCTGTTAAGGGAGCCACACAGTGCAGTGCAGGGCTGCTTAACTTCACAGACATACCCAAGTTAGCCCAGAGGTCATGACACGAGTATTTGACAGCTGAAACACTAGTCTTTTCTTTCTGCTGCTTCATCAGTCAGCAGGGAGCCAGCCTGCACAGCTCATGGGTTTATTTGCTTTTGCAGTTCTCCTTTCTGCAGGATTTGGGCTGCTTCCCCTCCACAAGAGCCCTTGCTGGCAATGCCAAGATCTTTCATGCTGGGACTCATGTCACCAGGCTGCAACTGAGGCTCCTGAGAAGATGACCATTCCCCACTTGGTTCATCACCTTCACCTCATGCTTCCTCAGCTGCTTATTTGAGCTCTGCCTAAGCTGTTTTCATTTAGCACCTAACCCAGATCATTTTCACAGAATCACAGAATCGCAAGGGCTGGAAGGGACCTCGGGAGATCATCTAGTCCAACCCCCCTGCTAAAGCAGGCTCTCCTAGAGCATTCTACACAGGACTTCATCCAGGCGGGCCTTGAATATCTCCAGAGAAGGAGACTCCACAACCTCTCTGGGCAGCCTGTTCCAGTGCTCTGTCACCCTCGAAGTAAAGAAGTTTTTCCTCATATTCAACTGAAACCTCTTATGTTTCAGTTTGCACCCATTGCCCCTAGTCCTGTCGCAGGACACCACTGCAAACAGACTGCTTCCATCCTCATGACTTCCGCCCTTAAGATATTTGTATGAGTTGATAAGGTCCACTCTCAGTCTTCTCTTCTTCAGGCTGAACAAGCCCAACTCTCTCAGCCTTTCCTCGTAGGGGAAATGACTGAAATGCATTAAAAACCATTCGTGCCAGCCTTGACTTGCTAAGCACTGCTCAGCAACAACTAAACCATCAGTGTGTTGCCACATTCTTCTCCTACTAAACCCAAAACACAGCACTATGCCAGCTACTAGGAAGAAAATTCACTCTACCCCAGCCAAAACCAGGACAGCCAGCATATCTGAGGGAGGCAGTCACTTCAGGAAGAGCAGTCCCTAAGTGATGGGGAAAGTTGCCTCTAGGCAGCACAGCTTGAGCTGGAAGAGGATACATGTCCACAACAGCAGCGTGGCAGGAGCAGACCATGAGGAAGATTTCTGGTTCCTTGTGCTAGAGTCAGTCATCTCAGATGAGTCCCTGCCCGCTTCCCTCAACAAGGGTCCCTGTGAATGTTGTATTGAGGAGGAAGCTATTCTTTTCCATACCTGCTGGCTTGTAAACATCAAATTTTGTCCACATTGTGAAAATTAAGATTCTCATTTGTAAAGAATACATGATTTTATGTGAGCTCTAGGCTTCATTTTGTTCACAAAAACAGCAAACCAGAATATTCAGTAGCCCAGTGTATAAGATTTTATCCGTATCTCTTAACTGGCAAAATTTTTTTTCATTCCCAACTTAATGTCCCAAGCATCGGCCTACAGGATCCCTCATGCTCTCATTGCTCTTGTTCTTTCTCTGTGGTTTAGTCTGAAGTTCCTTCCAATGAAGAGAAATATTTCTACCTAAAGGCATTTAAACAGAAAAATTAGCAACCAATTTTAAAATTTCCAGCCATCTCTAAATGCATGACTGCAGACACTATGGGAGAATCTTTGTTAATGTCCCTCTGAAAACATGTTGATAAAGCATGAAGAGTGAGGTCATGGAAGAAAAGTCAGCCCAACTATGAGGAAAGTGAAATTATTTTCCTTGACTCCAGTGTTAGGGCTGAGGTATTGTATTGGGTTTGTTATGAACTGTACAAATTCCTTCTGAGAGTTTTAAATATGAAAATACCTTTCTTTTGCTTTCAGAATACACCCACCGATTAGACAAAGCCAGTGGTGTAGGTCTCCCAAAAATTCCAGTTCATCCCATTGGCTATCATGACGCTGAGTCATTGCTACGGTGAGTGTATGGGAGACATGAGGAACTGGTTTTTGAAAGTTATGAGAGTATTTGAAAAGAAAGGGAAAAGATTTTACACTGTGCTTCTACTGTAGCCATTGAAGTAGTGTATGTTTGTCGTTAGGCTCTCTGTAGGAGGTAAACATGTTCCCTATTACTACATATCAGGTATGTGCAGAAAGGATCATTTGTAATATATCGTGATCAGTCAAGCATACTGAAGGTATAAAGTGCCTCTCAGCTCAAATAAAGGCAAACATTTTTGAGGATGGCATGATAGCTGTCTTGGGAAAAAGACCTCAAATGAAGACAAAGACCATCACTGTGATCTGTGTGTGCATCGGACCTAACGAAGTGTGGTTCTTGGTTCCTCATTTGTGTTTGGTGCTAAGATGTCTGTAACTAATAATGATCTTTTTTTTTTTATTCATAATAGTAATATGGGAGGATATGCACCACCACATAGTAGCTGGAAGGGAAATTTGAATGTGTCTTACAACGTTGGTCCTGGTTTCACAACAAATTATTCCACAAGGTCAGTTTTGTTTCATAAGGAAAATGTGCTTGGGATCAGAGAAAAACATGTAGATAGTGGTGTCCCTGCTCACTACAGGGGGGTTGGACTAGATGACCGCTAGGGGTCCCTTCCAACCCAAAACATTCTATGATTCTATGTAGAGCAGTAGAATTTAACCAAAAGTACAGTAGTTGGAGTTACTTGCATCATTCTTTTGATTATGACCATTTCCTGGGCTGAAATGCGCTCATTGCAAAGCTTCAGTAGATTTACATCTTGATTGGATAGATATGATTGAATTGCTTTAGTTTCCAGCCAGTCTTGAAACAGTTTCATTTGAAAAACATCTAGCCTTTGACAAGCTATTTGATGAGACTGAATATTTTTGAGAACTGAATTTGTGTGTGGTCTTCTAAATTCACGTAGGTCCAGCTTCTGGTCTTACCTATTGCCTCATATAAAATGGTATTAACCTACAAGTTGAGTTTTCCAGAAAAAAAGCTTTAACTACGATATCATTTTTATTGTTTCAGGTTGTTTTTGAACTGATTCAGTAACTACAGTTTAGGACTAAGGCCCAGGTGTTTCAATACGGCTGAGCTATTTTACAGACTTCATGTGAACCATTTGACCTTTTCCCTACGTCTCAGTCATACCACATGAAAAAATGTTTCTGAAAAATATACAGGCAACCCTTGAGGATGAGTTGTTGAACCTCCAGCTGTGTTGTAGATAAACAAAGTCTCTTGTTGCAACTCAGGTTGTCTGATTTTCTGCTGCCTGAGCTGCCCCATCAGTATTGACTGTGTTGGAGTCATTTCTGATTTGCACCAACATCTAGATGATTCAAACTGTTTACCTTTTTAACATTAGATGGTTTTCATGTTTCTTTCACTCTTCCAAATTTAAAAACTATCTGCTGGCAAAAAAATCCTTGAATTTGGGGTTCTGAGCCTGTTATCCTTATAAAGCTTATTGAAATCAATAACAGTACATGGCTTTCAAGGGCTAAATGCTGTTCTCAGTTGCACAAGTATAAATCCAGAAAAAAATACACTGACATATTTTCAGATTTACTTTGGTTTAATGGAGGGTGAATTTGGCCAAAATGCTTTCCTTACAATTTATATTGTACACTTTTGAAAGGTGTCAAGATGTTTTATTATCTAATCTGGTGGATTTTCTCTTTGGATTTTCTTCCCGATACATTAGAAAGGTGAAAATGCACATTCATAGCCACAATGAAATAACAAGGATTTACAACGTGATTGGTACCATCAGAGGCGCAGTGGAACCAGGTAGTGTCATTTGTCTTCAGTGTAATGTGAGTGTGCAGTGACCTCTACATGCACTTCATAGTTACAAGGGGGAAATGAGGAATATAGTTTTCTCTGAAATATTGCACTACATGATCATTGGTGTTGAAATATTTATTGCACCAGCTTTCATATGGTTCAAGGTATGTCAGCACTTTCACTGTAAATGGTGATTTTCAAGGGGGAGTCATAACCAAGGCAGAAACATTTGTCTTCATGCAAGTAACTTTGAAATTGAAAGAATATTCTTAAGTGGATATTCTTCCCTACTAACATGGGAATGGATTTTGCATTCCATCTGAAGACATCATGTCCAACACTACTGACTTCTTGGCTGTCTTACACTCTCTTGTAACCAGTGTGATTTTACACTCTCAAAAACCAGAAATACAGACATCCCTATAATGTTGATAACATCATTTAACTTGTAACAGCAGCGCTTCCCTGTTGCCTGAACCGCAGCTGTTAAACATACTGTAGTAGCACCGAGATCTAGTCTGACTTTGATTTTTTTTAATCGCATCTCTGTGGTGCTTTGGACAACACTTTTTATGATTGACTGTATACGCATTCAGAGAAATACTGCATTCAGCACACCCTAATGTTGTGAGTTGGCGTACTGTACGAATATAATTAGTGGATCAGCTTTACCGTGAAACATACTATTGTAAAATATGGAAAGATGCTTCTGTCTTCAGAGGAAAGGTGCAGTATTTCTAATAATAGAGGTAACATTATGGAATTTACAAGGTTTTAAGTCTTATGGGATCAAGTTACCATCTTTGACAAATTTTTAGCCCCGGCTGACTGAAAATGCAGAAAAATGTCTTTGGAGATTTAAAATGTCTTTACTATTTCTATCATGTATATTATAAAATATTAGGCTTTGTTGTCTGACAACTACATGGAAAATTAGATATTACTTCCAATTAACAGCTCTATGGGAGGAAAAAAGTTTTTCTAAATAAACCTCCATAATTAATTTCTCTAGACAGATACGTTATCCTGGGAGGCCACCGCGACTCATGGGTGTTTGGTGGCATCGATCCTCAGAGCGGGGCAGCTGTGGTTCATGAGATTGTGAGGAGCTTTGGAAAACTGAAAAGGAAAGGTAATGTAATGTAAGAATAAAGCACGCCAAAATCACTGCTCTCAGCAGTGCCCATTAATTTTTCTGGGATTTAAGCATAGGCTTAAAAATGAATCATAGAATCATAGAATGTTTTGGGTTGGAATGAACCTCTAGAGGCCATCTAGTCCAACCCCCCTGCAGTGAGCAGGGACACCGCTAACTAGATCAGGTTGCTCACAGCCCTGTCCAACCTGGCCTTGAACGTTACCAGCATTGGGGCCTCCACCACCTTTCTGGGCAACCCATTCCAGTGTTTCACCACTTTCATTTTAAAAAATGTCTTCCTTATATCCAGTCTAAATCTACCCTCTTTCAGTTTAAAACCATTACTCCTTGATCTAACCAGATGCATGTATCTAACTGATGGCGCAAATAAGCACGCTGCTCTGCAGCTATTAATTATTTCCAATTGCAACCTTGGTATATGTGAGGTACTTCTACTCACGAGAAATTACACCTAAAGGGAAACAAAACACACAGTGGGGGATACTGAAATAAATATGGCATTTAGGTACAGTTGATTACTGTGTATTTGAGCCTGATCAGACTGGATGTTTCAGTGGTCTTATAAAATTGATAGAGTGGTGCACTGATCAAGGCTTCATCAGGGCAACGCTGAGAGCCTTCTCAGCACTTGACTGTGTTTGGAGACCGACCCGAGAATAAATCAAGCATATCTGTGTAATGCAGAGAATGAGCTGTGCAAACATAGTAGGAGGTAGTGGTTAAAAATGCCTCATGACTAGTTACGTTAGAACAGGAACAAATGCCAACTGCACCAAGCTTCTGCTGCTGTCAGAGCAAATGCTATCTCCCTGTCTGACATCCCATGGAAAGAAGGTCTGACATAACTCACATACTGTGCTAGAGGAGCTTTCTTTGCCTACCCATTCCACTTAAAACCTATTGACATTTAGTTTTCTGTCCATTCCCTCCCAGTTACTGGATATCAGGAGAAACTGTCTGGAATACAAGCTGGGGAAAAAAAAGGTAAAAAAGAAAGGGAGCAAAAGATGAAAAGGTTCCAGTAGCCTCAAAGAAAACTTTGGGCATAGATACAGAGGCAGAGCAATAGACCCTGTTCCATTTGGCCTGCGTTTAAATCGAATGCAGAAATTCAAGTGAAGGATCTTTGTTTTGAAGGTGATCTGTCAAAGTTACAGGGAATTCTCAGGTTTTGAAACCCAGCATTTGGGAGACAGTTCAAAGAAATTCAGTAAGAGATATGAAAACATGCCAAACACTTTTCTGTCAAAGTAGACACTGGTATACAATGTGTACTTGAACAAAGCAAAAAGAGTAGAAAATCTTTCTTTGAAGAATTTGTGCATAAGCACATTTTTCGTTGTTCACAGTTTTAAATTTTAGAAAGTGTTTTTGCAATTAAAGCTGAGAGAAGAAAAAGGACATGTTATTTGGCACAATACTGAAGTGGAAGTGAGACTGCTACAAAAATAACAAACCATTATTAGATTAGATTAGTGAAAAGTTGGTGTTAAAGTTCCTTAAAAGCATCTCTTTCCCCACAGATCAGGAAAAAAGATGAGCCCCCAAAAATTGCATTTGTTTTGGCATTATTTACCATGTAACAAGCAGTCTTTATTTCTGTAATACAGTTTTAATGGTCTTTTATTGCAGGATGGACACCAAGGAGAACAGTGATATTTGCAAGCTGGGATGCAGAGGAATTTGGCTTGTTAGGATCAACAGAATGGGCTGAGGTAAACCAATAGTGTTCAAAGAGCAATTTTCACAGTGGCAGATCTTTGAGAAATCAGTACCAGAAAGCAACACTTCTTCCCTCCCTCCCTCTCTCTTCCTTACACGCACAAACACACACTCTCTCTTAAGTTCCCTTTTGAACTACGAAGAATTTATAGCTTCTTGCAGTATATGATGTCTTTCCCTGAAACAACTGTTAATTCTGTGGATGGGAAAAAAAATTTCATCAGCATTTTCTTCCTCTTTTCCTTCTCATAGGAGAACGCCAAAGTATTACAAGCACGAGGAGTGGCTTACATCAATGCAGATTCCTCCGTCGAAGGTACATAGTTTTGACTTGTGTTTTACAGGAATAGTGATGATATATATGCGGATGACTGGGAGGCATTTTGGCTTGGAGATCCATGAAAGCTTCAATGTGATGATGTTGTTGCATTAGTTCAGGAGTAGGTATGGGGAAAACCATGACCCAGAATCATAACGTATCCTTCAGATATTCCTGTTGCTTCAGTAAAGAAGTCCATTACAGTAGCTACACTATTTGGGAAGCCATGGGAAGGGACAAGAAGTGTTGCGCCCCTGTCAGCAGTTCTATGGCAACTCTTTAGAGCCAGCTTCTCCTCTTACACTTAATAAACATAGGGACATAAGAATAGCTCTTAAGGGTCACTTCAAAAGCTGGACTGTAATTCATCCTAGCCAATACAAATGCACTGACAAGATCACAGGAGGAGAACTCTTCTACAGGGAGAATCAGCTTGTTCCGTGTAGAGAGTGTAGCTTTCTAATCCCTTTCTTACTAACAAAAAATGGCATGAGGTTTCAGCTGAGTAGTATTTGCTTCTTTGGATAAATAGTTTTTCCTGTTTTTCAGGAAACTATACCCTACGAGTGGATTGCACACCACTGATGTACAGACTGGTGTACAGTCTTACTAAAGAGGTAACATAGCTTGAAATTTTTAGCCAGCGTGTTCAGTGCTCAGTTACTGGATGGGGCTCTGTGTATAAAATACGGTGTCAGATGTTTCTTTCTTTTCTAACTGCAGTCCCCCTTTTAAGTCAATAGCTAAGTAACTGGAGCTTTTTCCCAGGAGTGGCAAAGGGTTTTCAAGCTTATACCTTTAAATTATTAGCTATTCAGGATTGGGGGATTTTTCCACTCCTCCTGTGCAAGTGTTTCTTCTAAGAACAAAAGAATAAAAAAACGCTGTGAGCCAGAGGACAGAAGCAACCACAAACTTGACTGCCCAGTCCAGCTAATAGGGTGCCCTTGGTAGTGAGAGACTGAATCCCTTTAGGCAGGGGAAGAAATTAGGCTTGCTACGGTGTTGTTTTTAGCATGATGTGATAGATTTGGTCAATGTGCTCAGCTTCAGTGTATCCTGTTAGATATTCATTGGCTTTGGCCATGATGCTCTCATGCATATTCGTGTGGCTCACAAAATTAAAAGGTAGGGACCTTTCTCTGGAAATAGCCTCACCATCTTAGATGTAAGGTGTTCCTTGCTTTGAGAGTGGGTCTTAGAGGCTGGCACTAAAGGGTTTTTACTTCTGGGGTTTTTTTCAGTTCATCTGTACTAAAGCATGAACATTTAATGAGCCTTCTGTGTGTGCTTTTTATATACACATATAATGTACATTCATCCACTGTATATATTCTATGAATCTCCTATATCTGTCCTCATCTGCTCTATACGTTCAGTCATCTGTCTTTTCCAGGGCTGATAATTTGTTATCTCTTGGAAGCTGGCATTAGACTGGTACAAAAGTAAAGGAAATGAAGTAATTCAGTATAATCATTTTCTGGCAATTGAAAGACAACAAATAAAAATTAACTCTGTTCAAATTAGGTGCCCAGATAAAGATATTTCTGTCCTGAACTGCAGAAGAGCTGATGACCTGCAGTTCCCATGGTAACCCATGCTAAGTGCGGGTGTTCAGAACGGTCAGAAAATCAGGTCAGCGGAGTCTCAGTTTGGGCACCAACGGCCAACCCTAAAATGTTGACCTAAATACCAGTAAACATGGTTGTGTAAGCCTTCCTCAAGCTGGGAAGCAGCAACAAAGGCTGATGAGTGCATGTATGGTAGCTGATGTCTGAAGAGAATGCTGATCAGGAAGCAGGCCCTGTGTGATCCCTTCCAAAGTTAATCTGTGGCAAAAAGTGTTAACACTGTTCTATGAACAGTTAGCTTCATGACCAAAGAAGCAAATATATTAGTTTTATTTTGATTGCTATTGTGGAGTAATTCTCAGATAGTAGGTGTAGATGTTAATAATAAAATACATATTAATAATCTTTGAATAAAGATAATAAAGCCTCAGCAGCCCATCAATAAAAAGGAAAGATGAGAAAATACCCACAGTGTTTCACCTGCTCAGTAATCTGGACGGTGGTCTGAAGAGAGTGATAGAAACGAACTTTAGGATGATCATGATTTGTATACCTCTGTAGCAGCTATGATGGCACAAGCACCAGGTATGGTATACTTTGCCCTTCTAAGCTCACTGCTGCATCCGTGAAAATAATTTTTGTGAAATAAAACAAAGTAAAACCAGTTTTGAATAAAACAAAGACAAAACAAAAATTTCCTGCCAAAGTGAAACAAAAAGTTTTGGGTTTGTGAGGGATTTTTATGTTGAATATTTAAGTTAAATGCCTGAAAATCTCATAAAGAAATATCCTAATGTAAATATTGACTTGAAATGTTTTACTTTCCCTGTGTTTTCTTCCATCTAAAATTACCTATTTTTAGAAAATACACTATTCCTCTGGAAAATGATATGTATTTGCAATGTTAAAATGGAAATGCAGAAAAGCTGAGGGACTTAAGAATGTGACTTATTCATTGCCCTAAGCCATAGGCTTTATGTGATGACGGGTTGTAGATTTGTTGTTTGGTAACATTTAAAATTGTACCCTTTGTCTTTTTTTACAATATACTTTTTCTAGATACCAAGTCCTGATGAGGGGTTTGAAGGAAAATCTCTTTATGAGAGCTGGTATAAAAAAAATCCATCAAGAGAATATAAAGAGGTCCCCAGGTCAGTGAGAAAAGGAAATAAACAATATACCAAAAGCTATTGTAACTTGTAGAGTGTGGATTTTAAAGAAATATTCACTTGAAAAGCTGAGCACCTAAAATAAATGGTGCACTTCTTAGCTGGTATAAATTTCAGAGTATTATTGATTGCAGCTGATACACTACTGTACAGCAGTTTTGTGAACTTGCCTTTGTAGCATGAACAGGTGGCTTTATGTATGAAAAGTAAAGTGTATTTAGACAAATAAGGGTAGTATGCACAAGCCAGCGACGGGCACACAAGGTGCTAACACAGCAGCTTTCCATTGTACTTGCTTCCAGTCTCCTGGAAGGCCTCTGAGTTTGGGTGGCTGGGGAGCACACCAGGCAGGTTTTTATAACGCTGTCCTTCAAATTTACCAGGGTTTCTCTTTAGAATCTCAAAGACTTGATTCTGTCCCATGGAGCCATGCCAGTACTGTTGTGATTTCTCTGAGTTGAGAGCTTGGGATAGTGGAAGTTCAGTAGGGGGAAGGTCACTGGGTCTTCTCAATGATTAAAGACAGGGAATTAAATTCTCCAGTTGAAAGTTTGATTTCTCTGACCCTCAGAATGATGACTCTGCTCCTCCAAGAATGCAATTGATGATCTGCATGTTATGTAGGGGTCACAGGCAATTCATGGTATATTGACACAGTACTTGGAAACAAACTAAAATTGTACTTTTAAGTATTGTCACTCAAGGCATTTTCCTCTTTCTTGTTAAAAGAATAAATAAACTGGGTTCTGGCAATGACTTTGAAGTCTTTTTTCAACGTCTTGGCATCGCTTCGGGCAGAGCACGTTACAGTAAAAATTGGGTAAGTCTGTGTCTTTGCAATTTTGTCTCCCCTGTGACTGCCTATCACCTGTAAATGAGCCATTTAGCCTGCCAGCTTTTTGGAGTAGTTATTTAGTGTGTCAGAGTGGAGTCCCAGTTCATTACTAGAACTCCATTTGTTACTACAACATAAATATTTAATAAATAGGAATGGTCAACTTGGTGTCAGTCAGACAAAAGGAACTTTGCTTAGAGTAAATGGATGTGCTCAAAGTTACCTGTGGTTGATGAAGGCTTATGGTGACTTCTGAATGATTTGTAATAACTCATGAAGCTTTGAATTCAAAACAGTTCATGTTTTATGGAAAATATGGGTTTGACTCTGGAGCATACTGTGAGATGAGACTAATTGAGAAATACTCACGGAGCAATCTATTCAGTGTGGTCTTTTCCTCTGAAAAGGCATATTCAAAGACACAAACAGAAATTACTGTTGAGATCCAAGCAAAGAGAGGAAGGGCATTTTCACCTTTAGTCAATTAAAGGTTATGTGTCTTGTTCTTAGCTACCTTCTTTAGGCTCTGTACGTGTTCAGTGGAGAGAGGCATCTCCAAATGACCATTCATTTCATCATAGGTTGATGTCTAAGAGATCCACCACTGAGCAGTTCTTCTCATTCGACTGTCTGTAGTGGCTACATACGATTAGTGTGACCTGGACACTTAACTTCACAGTGCCTTGAATCCCACAGCAAAAGTTTTCAAGCAAAGCTGAAGTATCCACAACTGAATAATGGTTTTGTTTGGGTTTGTTTGTTTCAGAATGTAGAAAAATATAGCAGCTATCCAGTTTACCATAGTGTCTATGAAACCTACGAAATTGTGGAGAGGTTTTACGATCCCACTTTCAAGAATCACCTGACAGTAGCTCAGGTACGGGGAGGGCTGGTGTTTGAATTGGCCAACTCCGTTGTGCTTCCTTTCGACTGTAGAGATTATGCATCAGCTGTGAGCAACTATGCTGAGATCATCTATAATTTGTCAAGGAATCATGAAGACAAACTGGCAACATACAATGTATCCTTTGGTACGTACAGTCTTTCATCGTACTCCTCCTCTGTTAATGCTAGCAATGCCTTATCTTAATGTATGTCTTAGCCATGATCTGGTGTTTACGTTGTGCTGTATGAACAGTAAATAAAAAAAGAGCCACACCCTCCAATAATTTAAAATTTGAATATTTTTGCACTAGTATCCTTGTGTAGAGACTATGCCACTGCCAAGTAGAGCTTATACTTACAGTCCCATGTTCTTTGATCTGTGCATGGTTCAGCAATGTTGGCAACAAGAAATCACACTGCTTTGCAGCTTACGGTGTTGGATAATTCTCTGTCCAACACTGATCATAGGATCCTAGGATAATACAGGTTAGAAGGAACCTCAAAGGTCTCTAGGTCAACCTGCCCAAGGCAGGGTCAGCTCTGAGGTCAGAACAGGTTGTTCCGGGCTTTACCCCATCTAGTCTTGAAAACCTCTAGGGACAGAGACTGCAGAACCTCTCTGGACCACAGTGCTTGGCTGTCCTCAGGGTGAAAAATATTCCCTTATATCCAGTCAGAACTTCTCTTGTTTCACTTTATGGGCATGTGATGGGAAGTACAAGCACCAAGAGAAGTTTGCCTTGGGGCGTGGTCAGGCAGGAATGGTTCATCCCTGTGCCACAATAGGGATCTTGTGCTAGCATGTGAAATTTTATTTCATCTTAAAGGGATTCACAATATGCCTCCTGCCTGAGAAGCCTTTATTTTATTGGCAACATTATATACTACTCAGTTTGGGACTTGGCTGCTAATGACCACACACGCACACATACTCTCAGTCTTTCTCAAATCTCTGCGTGTGTGGAGGGACATACCAGTAAAACATCGTGTGTTGGGATTTGTAAAATCCCAGACCAATCTGAACAGTCTGGTTCTGGCAGTCCATGCTCTGGTTTTTGGTATTTCTGTACATTCTTCTAGTAGCGAACAATAAGCAATGTTCACAAAAGTACTGATTTCTATTGTCTCCAAGGCAAGTTTTCACACAGAATTACATGGTTTTTAATGTAGGAATATGGGGTCATTTGATTTCCATTCAGTGAGAATTGACGGATCATGATCACAGTGAAAGATAAAGCTTTAATTTGAAGAATTTGCTTTGTTAAATGTTTTCTTCAGAATTTGAAGTTAAATGCTTCCTTCCTGCTCCCTCCAGATACTCTTTTTTCAGCTGTGAAGAACTTTACAGAAGTTGCTGCTAGCTTTCATGAGAGACTGCAACAAATAGATATCCATAAGTAAGTTTAACTCTTTTTTTTTTTCTTCCCTTCAAATACTCCATGTAGTCCTCTGGGCTCAGAGGGCATAGTCTTTACTACATTTAGTCCCCTGAATAACCTTTGTGACAAATGACTGTCAGTCATTTGTTTCATTTTAAGTCCTTATGGATTCTTGTCTTTAAGGATCTGATTACTCTAGGAAACAAAGTGTAGAAATATTGAATTAGTGGACATCAGAGACACTGCAGCATCTGGGAATCTAGCCATGTTAGCTTCATAAAGTGTCCAAGCTAATTAGTGTCAATTCTTGACAGGTTTTAGTTGAGGAGCAGTGCCAGGATGATACATGGATGTGGCTAGAATGCTGGTTAGTATGAGCAGAGCCAGCTCAGGTGTGTAACTACCTCTCAGGCAGAGCCACGTCCTAGGATTTTGTCACTGGATTATCATTAAAGAACAAATGTTGACTTGTGGTCTTTGTTTGCCAGCACTCTAGTTTCCAAGATACTGGTACCACTTAATGAAAAAAAAAAAAAAAAGCTGTACCATGATCGTAGTCGTGGCAAGCTTTTTGGCAAGCTTTTCCAAAATTCTTTGCACCACCTATACCAAAAGGCCTATTTGCACTTGACTTAATTCTTAGTTTATTCTTTGCAGGCCATGCCCAGAATAAGAAATCAAACTTCCTTTTATATATATATATATATGTGTATGTTACCTTTCTTGGGAAGAATCTAATTTAGCCATATGCTTACCCTTATGGAAGACTAAGTGAGAATAAAAGCCATCTATTTAATGGCAATTCTCAAGATAAATGAGTTAACAATAATTTCTTACGTAAAATATGACATTTATGACATGTGATATGTATGTGACATTTTCAAAATGGTTTCATTGATGGATGGCCTAAATCTAAGCTTTAATTCAACGAACCAGTTTCAGTTTCCATTTACAACAATGTGAACTTGAAACAGTTTCACTGATGGTGGTAGATTCACTCGGCTTACAGTGATACAGATTTTACCATTTTTTCTTGGTGAGTGCCTTTGAAGCTCTACAGTAAGTTACTCTGGATGTAAACTACCGAACCCACATATATTCAGTATAATCTTCTTCACAGTTCTTCTATTTGTTGAGCATCAGTAGTGTGCTCAGAGCCATTCAAAACACACAGACACAGATGGTCTGTGGTCTTGGGAATTTACAATCTGCCGTCAGAAAAATACAATTCTTGGACGATTCAAAAGATGATTCTAACATCACAAGGTTCTCATTTCTCAGATGTTGTGGTTTTACATAGAAATAAATGTGATTTTACTGAAGCAATTTGCCACTGGGTGGCTTTGTGGAAAATAGGGTCTTTAGAAAACTGTGTTACAAAAGAAGAGAATAGTCTGCCTAAGCATCCTAATGAAAAGGAGATACAAGAACAAGATGCAGCATGAGAGAAAATACCTGAAAGTCTGTGTCTTCTTTGACACTATTTCTTGGCCTTTAAAAGCAGCTTTAAGAGACTTTCAGGTTATGAACAAGTCTGTCAGACTGCAGACTGCACATCAGCATAATTCTGTTGTGCAGGTTAGCTGCCATGGGCTGTATTCTGTGAGCTACACTTTTAAGTTCAACATCTTGGATCTAATGTCCTTCATAAACCCAGAGCTGTGTACACTGGGGCATGGGATGGGAGTGGGCCAAACACTAATAGCTAACCTATTGGCCTGTTTTCTTTTTAGCCTAATTGCTGTCAGATCACTAAATGATCAGCTCATGTTTCTAGAAAGGGCTTTCATCGATCCTCTTGGATTACCTGGCAGGCCATTCTATAGGTAAGAAAGGCTTATTTTTCACTTTCTGCATGGAGTACCTTATGAGAATTCCTTTAAGATTTACAGGTCTCTAAATGGAATTGTAATGATTTTATTCAACGTGGTAAAAAGTAGATTAAACAGGACAAATAAGATTGAAAAGGGAAAACAACATTAAGGAAAACTTCAGTGAGATACACTATAGAGAATGAGAAAAAGTCTTGCTGGAAGCCTATTCAGGTCAGTAAACTCATTTCCATTGATTTCAGTGGGCTTCTAAACATCTAGAAGTTTGGCCCTGGACTCAGTTCAAGTAATTTTAGTAGTAAAAGATCTTTAGGAAGTTATTATTATTTGAAAGTGAAATAGGGTATAATTGAAGTATCTACAATTTCATTGATTATAGCAGAACAGTCGTGCTAGCAAATGCAGTGCAGAGGGCAGTACTTCAACAGCAGTGAAGTGGATTCAGTAGCTCTCTCACTGGTTCAAGAAGTACATCTTGTTTGACAGGCAGAATAGTGAAGTCAAGTCTAGCTTTTTGGTCCTTCTACCGGTCTGCATAGTTCAGAACAGTAATCTTTCCACTAAAAAGTAACTGTAGAAAGAGAACTTAAAATCTACAGTCCTTCTACCTCTCATAGCTTCAGATTAAAAATCTTTTGAGAGCAGTCTCTTGTTAAAGCATCAGCTTTCCTACCTCAAAGCACGCCTGTATCTGTTGGAGGCTGTGTATATCTGTGAGAAACGAAGCTGGCTTTTTTTTTATCTTTCCATTTCATCTAAAATGAGGGAAAGGAAAATACTTTAGTCGACTTTATCTCAAGTCTTCTTAGCTATAAAGTTATGGAATTCACATGGAATAATTTAGTTTATGTTATTTTCTTGCTTCATACATTATAGGTACTATTGCTGCAATAATCTTATTTATTTACAGCTTCAGTGTCAGGAATTTAACAGATGATATAGAAAAAGATTAGTTTTATTCAGAAAAAATATTTTTTATTTTCCTAATGCAGAATATTGTTATTTTTTTCCCTCAACTTCCCTACAGACATGTTATCTTTGCTCCAAGCAGCCATAACAAGTATGCAGGAGAATCATTTCCAGGGATCTATGATGCCATGTTTGACATTGAAAGCAAAGCAGATCAGCACAGAGCCTGGGAAGAAGTTAAGAGGCAGATTTCCATTGCAGCCTTCACTGTACAGGCAGCAGCAGAAACACTGAAAGAAGTAGCATAAATTTCAACAACATAATCATCAACGAAGACTAAATATCACAGTCTGCAAGAAGCCTTAAAAATGGAGCATTTTAAAACACCAGGAGAATTATTACAAAGAACACAAAAACAAAAAAATCTTTTTTTTTTGCAAATAATATACCCAAGGGGAATGCATTTAGCAATGTTAACAAGGTAATGTACTCCATTTGGAGAGCTCAGGCTTTAGATAACTTCTGAAGAGAGAGCTGAAAAACTTTCATGTTTTCTCTCAGCTTCATATTTTGAGAATCGCTAACCACTGGATTTATTTTCAGAGCTTTGAATTTTGCTAGCTTGGTTATTACAGCACTACCCATAGTGCATTAGGAAACCAGAAGTCATTTCATGTTTCTATCAGTTTCTAATTTTGTTCTTGACTTTTTATAACTTACCTCGGAGTCGCATAATTATACGCCAGGATAGCCCTTTCAGCTCCCCTTTTGCACAAAGAATCATGTATGAAGATGGGAAAACTGTCACATACTGTGTGAGGGATGTATAATGATCATAACAAGTTTTGGGCAGCCAGCCCAGAATACTCATCCATGACGTTCTTCTCTTCACATGCTGAATCTTGCAGCTGTTTGCAAATAAAATAAAGCAAGAAGCCTTCTAGTCACCGGAGTAAAAACAAGGCAATACATCTTGTCAGACATGTAATCATCTCACAAAACATGTCTTTCAAGATGAAGACCTACTTTTATTCTTGTATCCAAAATCTACTCCTGCTATGCCTTGTCCATATCAAGGTCTTTTTAATATGAAGACAATTAGAAACAAAGGAAATTCATCATGTCCTTAGTTTGAAAGGGTACCAAATTATTAACATCTTAATAGAGTCTGTATTTCTGGTTTTGGTGTGCAGCTTACCCTTATGACAGTCTGCTCAGAAGACTACAATGTCAAGACAACGAAGATCAGACAGAGGAGACTCAGAAAATCAGATCCCTTCATCTGACACTACCACTAGAGGATTACCAACCTCTTGCACAGCAAATATTTTATTTAATTAGATTTGCCATTTCAGCTGAGGCCTCCACCATGTCTTAGAAGACTGTCCCGTGATCTGATGGATTTCAGTGTCATGGTAGACTTTTTTCTTTTCCGTAAGACTTCATTTATTCATAAATATTTCTACTCTTCACATTAAAACACTTCAGGCAAATCATTGTACTTAAGTCATTGTTTTACTTATCTGTTGATCTTTCTCATAAAATAATCCAGTTTTCCAGATAATGGGAAATGCTCTTACACTCACAGTTATTGCTCAGTTATTTTCACATTTTTATGAAAGTGATTGGAGTCAAAACATGGAGACGTGTCTTCCCCCAAACCTAATTGTGCTGATGGGAGACATTGCTGTCTCTATTTTATTGCTGCTGGCTGCTCCACTGCTCCTTTTGTCAATGGAGGACCCACCTCTGAAAAAATCGGTCAGGTTACTTTATATCATCAGTTAGGCTAACCTAGAGGATTTTGTCTGCAGCAATCAAGGGAATGATAAAACAAACCTGCCATGCAGAGGGAGGCAGCAATAAACAGCTTCTGTTGACCAGGTGGATACAAAAAGACTATTTTTATATTGCTAAGGAGTATGTGTCCAGAACTGAAGCACCAAACTCCAAAATTGTTGAGATCTTCCCCTAAATGACCTGCAAGCTTTCTCACCAACTTTTTCTCTCAGCCCAGAAGACATAATTTTTTTAATCTCTGGCCTAATCATAGCATTGTTTTGTTTTAAGTTTAATTAGGACCCTTTTTGGCAATAGCTGGCAGATAATACACAATGTCAGGGCCCAGGATCTCACAAAACACAGAGGTAGTTACACTCTTAAACTACAGCAACATCCATTTAAAACAACATCTGTGGGCTGTCCCCTAACCACTGCAGGGAATAGGATATAGGGACAGAAGTTCTCTCTCTCCTATTGACTCTGTTCCCCTGTGCACAAAACATTCAAGGTTATCTGGTCCAGAGAGAGGAAGCACTCATAAGGCTGGTTATAATATGATGGCTTATGTGATGCTTTGGTAAGGTGGGATTCAAACTGTCCAGTGCCTTCTCCCGGATTTGGGTCTGCTTTTTGACCCATCTTTGTTCAGTGCAAACCACAACCTGTAGCAGTTGAATTTTAAAAGCAAATGGAGCCTTGCTTAATTTTTTGAGAGAAGATCCTCAGATGGGCTCAGCCCAGCTCTTTTCCCAAGCCCTACTTCAGTCATTTATCAAAGGGATTTGAGGTCAAAGACATTATGCTGCATGCTATTGGTGGGAGTATTTCTCCACTCACTTGCCAGCATGAAGCTTTTCTGATCTCCATTCTGAGAAGCCTAATACTTGGTGCTGACTTCTCTTGAGACAGCCACTGTGATTCTTATCCTTAGCTTATTCAGCATGATCTTGGATGTTACTGGCCCTGCTATAGAAAACCACCACAATATACAGAATTGTTATGACAAACCAGCACTCCATCTGTTTTCCCTCAATATACTGGGCTGGAGCTTGTGCCTGTTCAACAGCTTCTTCAATAGCTGCTGAGACATCTTTGCATCTTCATCTGGGACCTGCTGAGAGAAAGAAAGACAGCAGATGGCAATAATGAGAGCATGATAGGTATTCCATGGGAAGCTGTCTGCATTTGTAAGTGTACCTCAGACTCCTTCGTTTCTGAGAGGAAGGAAGCACAGGTGTCTAGTTCTGCAAGCCTTAGGTTAGGCATGGCAGCATCTAGCATTTGGACACATTATGGCCCAATCTGGAGTTCTTGATATGTTTTTAAATTTATAATAAAGACGCTTTTTAGTCTTCAAGAACTTCTATGGAAATTCTGATAACATTCTTCTCCCTAAATCATTTCTTATTGTCAGTCTTCTATGGAGTCTAGATATAGCCACTGCAGCCTTCAGTTCCTCAAAGACTATTCCAGGCAGAAGTGGCTTGGGTCATTACTGGGCAGCAAAGGGCAAAGCCTGTGTAGCTAATTACTGAAGCTACATGATTTGTAGTGAGCTGTCCAAGCCATATGTCAAACTATATGCACGGATGCATATGCAGCTGTCCATTTCCTATATGTGTCACTAGGATTATGAGTTCTAAACAAAAAGCAAAAAATGAAAGAATAGTTGTGTATGCACTGAGAAATGTCATTTCACACGACTCATTTACTGGGATAATACAAAGAAGCAAGGGTCACTTTTGACATTTGTGAACAAAATCAGGTCAACTGACACGGGCCAGCAAATGAAGGCATCTAGTTCCTACCAGACAAGTGGGGAACAATGGTTAAATAAATAACACGGATTAAAAGCACTGTCTGTTAATATGTTCTTGCAAACTGTAGCTGCACTGAGAAACATTTCCAGTCCATTGATTCTTACAGCTCAAAAACCTGTCTGGGCCAGCCACGTGAGCAAGGAGGTGTATGCTCTGAAGCAGTCTACTAAGGAAAGGCAGAGGATGAGAAGCCAGAGACAGGAATAACTACTTTTTAAGCATCTGTGGGTTTCATTGGTTCTGCCAGGGTTTCTCAGGGGCATAGCTATTGGCTAACACAAGCCCTGAGTGTGAAATCCTTTCCTATACAGGAAGTCAAGGTAAGGTTTGCATGCTAATTCTCCTTCAGCAAAGTAGAACTTCAAACAACATTAAAAAGTATTTTCTTTCTAGCCTTCTACAGTGAGTTGAAATTCACTCTTGACACTGCCAAGTGCTGTTGACCAGATTAGCTGTTTTGGCTCTCAAGCTTTGATATTATTCCATACAAATTGGCCAACAAAGACTGTTGAGTTAAGTAAAAATTTTAAAAAATCAGTTGTTAACAGGAACAAAATCCAAAATAACTAAGCATATGGAATGAATGGTTTATTGATAATCTAACATGAACCAGTTGTTCATGTAGCTACAGGTGTTTTCAGCTAGAGATGGCCATTAGCAGAGTTGTTTACTAAAGTCAACTTTCAGTTCTTTTATTTGCTAAATAAGCTGTGATTAATACTTGGAAGAACTAAGATCCGAATTTCAGACAGCTCCTTGCAAACACTCATTTGGCTTTTACAGTTACTGCAGACAAACTCACCGAGTCATTGATTTATGTACAGCAGCAGATGACTTAATTACAAGACAAGAGCTTTAGAAGTATTCAGTAATCAGAGGGCAGAACCTAGCTGGCACACTGGCACTGTTGAGAGCAATTACGTTAAAAGAATCTGGAGGTGAAATGGAAAAGGAATGGTATTTTTTGAAGAAAGTACTTTCTATCATATGGTCACAAATTGGATGCTGTCAAAATTTTCCAAAGAACTCCATACAATGAACATCCAGTGCACTAAGAGTCTAAATACAATGAAATGGAAGCATACCCATGTGTGGAAAAGGTGGAGACTACTTGTACTAAAATGTATCCTTGCTGTCATGAAATGAGCAATGTCAATGTTACTTTGGCTGGAAAGTCTGTTGACCTGGCAGCATAATTTCTAAATTAAGATGCTATTGACACAGATCTTACTTCAAGAGTTGGTTTAGCTGAGACAGAGCAATCCCTGAGAGTCAAGATCTTTGAGATGGGACCTGTGCTCACCTCTGCTTGTATGAGTAGTTTGAAATGTGCTGCTGGACTACAGACAATACCATGGTGGAGCAGAGCAGCCAACTCTCACAGCTGGAGTCACAATAAATTTTTTCACTTGATGCACAGCAGCTCCCCCGGGCAGCGGATTGTAATGAATGAATGGAACAGTATCACACAACCATAGTATCATAGGGTTGGAAGAGAACTCGGGAGGTCTCTAGTCCAAACTCCTGCTCAAAGCAGGGTGAGCTCCAAGGTCAGACCAGGTTGCACAGTTTTAACAAGTCCAGTCTTGAAAATCTCCAAGGATGGAGACCACATCACCTCTCTGTGTAACATATTCTCATGCTTCACTGCCCTCATGATGGAAAAGCTTTTCCTTATACCCAGACAGAACATTTTGTTTCAGTTT